TCCCGTGTAATGCCACCGTCGCCCTTGTGAGGATACCATGTCCTACAGCCAACCGAGACCGCTCGCAGCGCACCACGAACATTCACCGCATGAAGCTCGTTCATACATTACGAGTTTAGAGAATGCGGGATATGCTATTGGGCGGAGTCAGCCATTTCGGGTCACGGGTTTTCAGATATTTCGAACTTCCCTGTTTTTTTATGTATGAACGCGGCCTCTGATAGGTCATGGCTACTTACAGGTTTCTGATGAAGTGCGCCGTCAGAAGGACGTCAAAAGGAAGCAAGAATATAAAAATAACCCCTAGAAAACCTCCTAAAAACACTGCGTTACAGCTTCCTCAAAATTGAGGGCACGACGCCTCCATAAATGAAAGTTGCGTGTTGCCATGGACAGGGGCGAGGCCGCGGCCTCGTTGCCGGTCGCGCTTTCTTCACGTATTTTTGAGCTGCGAAAGTAGTGAAACCAAGCTTCTATTCTTGGGGACAGGACCCCCATTCACCGAAAAGGCTTTCGTATATCAAAAGAAGGCAGGGCAGGCCCTTGAGCAGGGGGCTCTATGCGCTTCATGACGACATAATGTCAACCACAGTATTGATTAGGACTAACCAGTTCAGAATTTGATGTTCGAAGAGAATTGGTGAACGACTGCTGCAGCAAGGACGCCATTGTGCCAGCCAAAGGATCACGGCAGGTGATCATCGCCATACCAGCTGTCATAGCACGCATCTGCAATTACAGGAATTTATAAACAATCCGAATAAAATCAATTAATATAATCAATACAAAATCTCGGGCATTTCGGCTAGAGGATACCAGTCATCGTTTGTAGAACTCTTGTGAAGAATACCTGTCAACACTTGTAAAGCAGCGTACATGACAACGGGAAGCACCGAGAGTGTTAAATGCCCCCCCCCCTTCTTTCTAGCCGAGCGAAGCCTGAATCTGACAGAAACTGAAAATCGAACCATGTGAAATGCTGCCTTCTTCAAGTTGTTCTCATCGGGATCCAAAGCAAAGTCTTTGCGAACCAGAGTTTCGGTGACAATCATCGCAATCTTCAGTGCTCTCTCAGCCACTGGCCCTATAACGGCTTTGTTCAGTACAATGGGAATAGTCTCGCTAAAAATTGTTCGAAAAATCCAACCGATGAGTTCCTTGATGGCCTGAGTGAGTGCAGGTCGAACATGATGCTTCATTTGTGGGTGGAGCTGAATAAAAAGTGTAAATATACAGCTTAGATGGTACGTCTCAACAAAATCTTCGTCCGATAAAAGGAAACTCACCTGGAACAACGGTAGTGACAGCTGGAACTTGATATGAGGAATAAGTCCCTCATATGATGTCACGTTGATATCATGGTAAGCAAAATGAAGCGGTGGTACGATCACAGCACTGGCCGTGCCGTCAACAATTGCTGACGAGCCTTCCGATTCAGGATTCGGGGTCGAAGGCTGAAACCACAGCCATTGCTGCTCAGTCCAAAAAAACGTTGAAGTCATCGCTGTTAGTACTAACCTTCGTGTCCGCTCCGGGAGCCGACACTGCATCCGGGGCAAGTCGCATTTGCCCCGGGACAGGACTGCTATTAGCTTGATCGGGCTGTGAGAGGGTTTTCAGGTCTGATAGTTGCTGCGTCACTCTCACAAGGCGATCAGTGTCTTTCAGCAAGCCTTCGATTGGTAATGATTCCAAATCCACTGATAGCTCTTTACACAACACCTGGAACGTTTTTTGTGAGCGCGATTACAAATATTTTGAAAACGCTAGCTTCATATCCAAAAGTCACAGGAAGCGTTCATACTTCGCGATGACGCGCGTTGACGCGCTGCCATTGCAGCGGCGCTACAATGCAGACAAGTATCGATCGGTGCCGGCCACTTGTATTTTCATGGAGTATGGAATAAGGACGGCCGTCATCATACAATCTACGGCCTGTCCAGTGCATCGGTCGCGTCATCGCAAAGTCTGAACGCTGCGTGAACTGCTCATCAACCGAGCACGAAATCGTGCATGTGAAAGTGTCCCGGCAATTGAAATGGCCAATCAAGGTGGATATCTGGCTAAACTAAGAAACGCCACTCGAACTTGTCATCCATCAAAAATTGCATAAAACTGCATGAACAGGACGCGCCAATCCCTGGAATCGGTGAATCAAATAGCCCTGAGCTCACCTCAATTTCGAATTTCAAATTGATCTTCAAATCTGGTTCATTATGTAGTTCTGCTAACACTTTCAATATGGAACGTATCCAAGCACATGTGGCACTGAATAGCTGAAATATGGAAATGGTTGGATGACATTGTAACTTCAACGACCTGCAGCACATTCCACAATGATCAGATGGGCAAAGACCCACATCCACTGCGCGTCCTTCGCGCGCCTTTTCTCTTTGCCTTCTTTAGAGTACACCAATAAGAAAGCCTGGTGAAGAATACGAGTCTCCGCCCACCCGGTTATCGCGGAATGTGCATGCCTCCAGCATACAGAAACTTTCGAACAAATTCTGCCGGACAAAAAAATTATTTGCTAACCTGCGTTTTACCACACGAGAACAGGATTTTCGCAATGAATGGAACGACAAATAGCAGTTCTTGTTGTCCTTTATAGTATGCTTCCATAAGCAGTGCTTTCAGATCTAATTCCTGAAATTCCGTCATGACTCGGGCTTTCTTGCTTGAAGGGTTATGAGAACCCTTACAGAAGCCATTTTAACACATAAGGCGACGATGTATCCTAATGCTGGTGCAATAAAACTTCAGTGGGAATGTCGATACAAAAAAACCCGCTGTTTACCCTTGACCGCCCCGTTCTTTGAAAACTTGGCCAAATTTCGATAGAAGCTTCACTCGTTGAGTAGATTTGGCTAGAATCTCGCTCCTGAGGTACTTTGACCTCTGGAACAAGGGAAACGCGTCTGCTTGGCCAAAACCACCTGGCGTTCGCGCCACTACACAAATATCTCACTAACTTGGCGTGAAATCCTGATACATGCGCTTTGGAACCTGACGCCAGAACTACCTGAGACACTTATCGGGGCGGGGCGAACGCAAGCGGGTGAATAACGCGGTAAAAATGAGCACTGTTCAATGGTAGATGAAGTCACTTACATGAATCAGAATAGGCTTATTCCGGGCTATCGTGATAGAACCCAGCCACATTCCCAAATTCTTCAACAACTGTCGGTCACTGTAGTTCGAAGCAGCTTGTCGCTTGTCAGATCGTAACAAAATCTGAAAAATAGCTTATCATAGCACCTAAAATCCTAGAGGCGTTAGAAGGAGCAAACGTCAGCGTCAATTTGAAATCCAAAAATTTACCCTAATATTTCTGAACGTTTCTCGCTTGATGTGCGCGTCCAGGAGTGGATGGTTTATCGCTTGTACAAATTGATTATACAAGGGCAGGAAGTTTTGTTCGATCGATACCCGCTTCATGACCACATATTGAGCAAACCATCGAATAAACGGTTCACCGTGCTCATCAATTAGCGCCAACACCTAGAAATGATAAATCGATT